CCAATCATTCTTCATTTCAGGAGCTTTTTGTTTGGTAAACAAAATATGTTTTGATCTTTATCCATTTAAGAGGCAAGCAGAGCAAATTAACCAGTTTAATAATAAACTACAGTTCAGAAATCAGAACAATTTCCTGTATCTTTCTTTTAAAATGTATCTTCAAAGTAATTTAAATAATGAATTTTTTTTTTAATTATAATCTGTCTTCCCTTCACCCCAGCTCCCCATTGGCCTGCAGCTCTGACATTTCTCCATTGGTTAAAATCTTTCTTGGACTTCATACCAGTTGAAGAATGTTAATTGATGATAATTTTTGTACACTGTTGCTCTTGGACAAAATTAAACTAAAAAAAATAAAAGTTCTTAATCTCAATTAGAAGCAGAGTAGAAGCTCCCCTCAATAGAAATAATTACTTCCAATCACTCTAAATACACAAGAATGCCCTTTTCAAAGTATTACAATGATATAAATAATAGTTCTGTTCTCAAGCAGTCATTGTATTAAAATTTAAAATGAAATGTTTTAAACTAGTAACATAAAAGTAAAATTTTAATGAATGTTTATTTAATAGATTTCATGTATATATACAATTTCTGTTTGACACTTACAGACCTTTGTGATTATTTTTTTTTTAGTCACTTTTGTGAAATAGATGGTGAGGATGGTGCAGAAAAACAATTCTGCTAATCTTGCTCTTTGTCGTAGCAATGGATAATACGTGATACTAGGTATGGCTCCTTTTCTTGAAGGCCAAGAGCTGTGGAGTGCTACATGTATCTATTAAGTGCTGTTCTTTTAAGTATTTTTTATGAGGGACTGATAGAAAAATATGATCTTTCTGAATTCTGTCTGTATAATACCAAAAGCAACGGATAGAAAATGATGCTACAATGTCTAAAGATGACCAACATTTGAATTAACATCATGTTGCGCAAAGTGTACTAGAGGATGTACAGTGATACTTGTTGATAAAAGAAAATGCATGGAAATGCTACCTGGTACATGCAATGTGTCCAGAGACTTGTACAACTTCTGATAGATGGTATAGGGTCTTAATGCATCTTTTTACTCTGGTAAATCTAGCCACAGGAAAGCTATGCTACGCATTTTATGCTGCACATTTTTTGTTTTTGAGTTCTGTCTCTAAATTGCCAATATAACAGTGCTCCACAAGAACAACGCAGTTCACAAGATCCTCAACAATGGACGTGACCAAGACATTTTCAGCTGAAGGAATCCATCTATTGAAAGATCTTGCAACACTGGAATAATCTTGCACATTACTGTACTCACACCCAGAATAGCAGAAATACCAACACCCATCATTTCTTTACTTCATTTGTTGTTCTTGCCAGAAGCCTTTTGTGTCAGTTTTGTAAATCCGACCAGAAAATTAAAAAACTGCAGGGACAGTTTGGGCAAAAGCTTAATGCAAGGCTTTGAGCAGAGCTCATCCATTTTAGTCACCAACGTTCAGATGGATATATTTACCTTCTCTAGCTCTACATATATTTAATTGAAAAAAACCCAAACAGATTATACAATAGTCAACAAAAGTAAAATCAATTCAGACCACTCAGCAACATGGTGGGCATATTAATTTCAGCAAAGGAGAGTTCAGGAACCTGCTCCAGATCAGGAAGAGATTAAATTTGAAAAATGGTCTCCCACCTTAGAGACTTGCTCCTGAAAAGTCTCCTGCTTGACCATTTTTGTGGGAGTCTGAAGCAATTTGCTACATTGTTAGTACAGATAGGCAGGTGGGGGCCTGATTTGAGAGTGGGCATGTCAAAACGCCATTTGTGACCACTTTTATGTGGTCACAAATCATACAGCCATAAACCAAATGCAAAGGGCACAGTCACAGAGTGTAAAACGTTTGCTGACAAATTAATTGATAACAAAAAGAATCAATTTCAATGAGGCCTATCTCTTTTTGCATTAGTATTTATTTTATTGAATCTAAAACTTGAATTATCATATATTAAGGTCTTCAAATTGACAAAGACTAAATATGATCAAGTGCTTTCAAAAGGTACAACAAATACTCAAAAAGAAAGACGGAAAGTGATATTTTATCCGTATTCTGTTTGAAGCCCAGCAGATGACCAGTGCTGACGGAAAAGGGCAACTACTACAATTTCCAGTTGATGGAAACTGGATGGAACCCCATAAATATCTTCACTCCTTTAGAATTTTTTGGTTTCTCGTCTGCAACCATTAATGGGTCTAAGAGTAAATCTTTTCTGTTGCTTTATAATGAAATAGCACTTGTGCCTGTACACAGAATAAATGGCTTGGTATGACACATACTCTTTACTAGGTGATAATGTTAAGCTGTACCTCAATGCTTACCAACAGCATGCTTGTAGCAAATGGGGGCAGAGCCCTCCCCAAATCTTCGTTCACGAAGCCTAGCCATGATGATAGATGATGATTCACCTCAATGCTACAGAGTCTAGGTCTTGGCCTCCAGAGGTCTAGAGAAGAAAGAAGCAAGATGTAGCTAGACAACAGTAATGAGCATTAAAAAATTCCAGATCTGATGTGTAGACTCCAGGAAGTCCTAATGTTTTGTTTCCTTCCCGTTTCTTCAAACTCTTTTGCATGGACAGGATGTTAGTATGGCTCATTCTTCTGTATCCGAAATGATAGGTGTTAAATTGTCTTAGCATATAAACATGGAAAAAACTTGCATCTACTCTGTGTATCCAGCTGCACAGTGGCATTTTACCTCACACAGTTTTGCTATAAAAAAAAGTTTAGTGCCCAGTACTTGGGTGCAGAAGCCCACTTCCCAGCAACACAAGGAAAAAAGTCATAAAGATCAACAATTACAGAGTATAACACTTTTTGCATATCACAGAGCATAAGTACCTATAGCATCCTGCACTTAGTTCCAAAGTATTTAGGGAAGTTATAACCAAAACTGAGAGAGTATAAGAAGCAGTGTGTTACTTTTCATGGCATTGTTTTTCTTGGGCCCATGAAATTTGGAAGCATTTATAGAGCCGGCCTGAAGCCAGCTGGATTCTGATGAATTTTAACCTCAGCGTCTCAGCTTTTGAAAATGAAAATACCGAGAACCTTTGCAAGCTGCTACAGCAGTCCTGTGAAGACTGGAAGCTGGTCAATTCTGAAGTTAGCTCAATGTAGCAAATTATACTAAGTAAATGAAATGTTGTCCTGATTAGCTTGCATAAAAATTTCAAGCTAGAAGACTTTGATACAATGAAAAGTATATATCTGATGCCTATTCTTGCCTGGCAAAGAAATGAGTGGTTACAAGGTTTTGAATTCTCCTTTGTAAAGAGAAGTCTCATGTGGCTGGTCTGAATCCACAATAAAATTCCTGTCCTGATACCTCCAGCCATATCCACATGTTCTGGACTTTTGTGGAGCTCACAGCTTTTTCTCTTTGCTGTGTCTCAGCAGGAGCAGGCCAGCTTAGCATCCTCTTGCCAGCTGCCAAGGATGGAGGCGGCCGCGGACGTGGCCCCCCTCAACCTTTTCTAGGCATTAGCTTTTGCAGGACCGAGGCCAGCTTCTGGCTGAGGCTGCGGTCCCAGCCAGCCCTTGCAGCCCGCGGGACTCGAGGCATCGATCTCCCCGGGAGCTGGTGCTGGCTCCGCCGCCCCGGGGGCGAGGACGGGCTGTGCGGATGCCGGGGCGCGGGTGCGGGGGCCGGGGCGGGCGCGCTGCCCGGAGCGCGGCGCGTCCCGCCCCGCGGGTGCCGGGGAGGGGTGTCCGCCGCACGTCACCGCCGCCCGCGATAAATGCCCGGCGGGGCGGGAGCTGCGAGGAGAGGCGCGGAGCTCTTCGGAGCGGCGGTGGCGACGACCCAGAGGCCAGTGGGGGAGGCGGCGGCTGAGCGCAGCGGCAGCCCCTCGCCGCGGCTCCGCTGCTGGACACGTCCTTGAGCGCCGCGCCGCTCCCGCCTCAGCGAGCGGGGCGAGGCCGCGCCCGCGCCCCCCGGCCCCGGCTCGACGCGGGCGTGGCGAGGAGGCGGGCGGCGGAGCGAAGCTGGCTGCGGGGAGAGCAGGCAGCCGCCGCCGGAGGGGTAAGGGCACTGGCGGGGGGCAGCATCCTCCCCGCAGCATCCTCCCCGCGGCAGCGGGAGGGCGGGGGGCGGCGGCAGGCAGACCCCGGGGCCGCGGGGCGCTCCAGTCCCAGGAGAGCGGGGCCGGTGCCGCCGGGTGCGGGCGGTGGCGGCGCGCTGGGGAGAGCCCGGTCCTGCCCGTCCGCCTCTTTTTGTTCCCCTCCCAGCGGCTGGGTCCTGTGTGGCGGGATTCGCGCGTGCTCGCCCGGGGTGTAGGAATGACCGCGGCTTTCCTACCTAAAGCAGTCAGTTACCTAGTAGGCGGTGTTGGGATACTGTATTCTTGGAGGTGGTGCTACTTTTTCTGATCGTTTCCAGTGCTTTCCTTTGTTTAGGGAATAGAATAACCCCGTCTTCCCCCATTTTCTTGTCCGAGTTGAATACCTTTAGTTTCATCAGGTATTTTTTTTTAAATCATAGAACAAAAGCTTTAATCAAAGTCATATTTCGAAATGCACTAAGAGGGGCTATTTTATATCAACTTTATTGTGGATTTCAAGTTTACACTTTGGTGATGAATGCAAGCCTTAAACTTCTTTTGTTCTTAAATTCCAATTTTGAGAGACCTTATCTGCAATCTAATCTTCATTGATGTCTGGCTCCTTCGAAGTAGATATGAAAAGCATACTTTTTGCATTCAGGCACTGAAATGGGCATGCCAGTGTAATGTATAAAACCACTTGAACAGAATGAGGTTCATAAGGTTGAAGATAACCTATCTTTCCGAATCAAGAGTGTGTACTTATTAGAGTAAAAAAAAGTAGCATCCTGCTTTCTCCCCCTAAAATAACAGTGACAAACTCTGTACGAACTACAGGATTTTTTTTCTTTGTAAGTTCATACAGGCCAGTCCTTCAGTCTCCAAATTACATTACTCTCTCTTATGTATTTACAGCCAACAGACGTGGAAGAAAGACTTTGTCTTGGAGCTAACTCCTGAGCATTTTTGAGATCATTCATCATGAAGTATGTAGTACAGGAATGGCTCAGAATAACTATCTTGCTATTCATAGCTCAAGCAGTTTCTGCAATGATTCTTCCCAATGCCACGCTCTTAGAGGAACTTTTGGAAAAGTACATGGATGAAGATGGTGAGTGGTGGATCGCCAAGCAGAGAGGGAAAAGGGCTATCACAGACAGTGATATGCAAAGTATCTTGGATCTTCATAATAAGTTACGGGGTCAGGTGTATCCACCAGCTTCCAATATGGAATATATGGTAAGGAAAAACTGATAGCGACATGCAGAAAGAATTGTTCTTAGTATAGTTACTATCACTTTATGAAACAGCATAATTTCAGTCTTAGTTTGTTTGTCTTCTCATTTAAAGCATATGTCACTTTTCTTTTTGTACAGAGATGAAATGTGAGATAAAAATGCATGTTTGTGGATCAAGTATCACGTTCTATTGATATTCATGCATTTAATCTCTCATAGCTCACTTAAATTTAAGTAGCAGTTCCTCAGTGTTAGGGACCCATTTCCAAAACTGTGGTACTCAAAATAGTTGATTGTGATTGTGACCTAAGTTACCATCTAAGAAGAGTACTGAACTATGAAGTTTCAAAATAACATATATTCTTTCCCATGCTTCTAGGTCAGATGGAATTTCTGAGCTAAATGAGAGACTTATAACAAGAAAGTCTTCTATTTAAATTGGCATGTGTTACTGGAGTCCTGCATGTTTCTGTGTTTAACAGATTAATAATGTAATATATAATTTCTGTTTGTATTTTTTTCTTTAGGAAGCCTCTATATTTGGATTATTATTATTAGCATTAAGTCTCCCATGTTTCTGAACTTTGATTTTATTCCGTAGTTCAAGGCTAATTTTAGCTCTCCTTGCTAAGTAGATCAAATCAGGTCATGAGAGCTTTTAAGAAGTCCAGAGTTTTTACAAGAATGGGCAATTTTACTCACATCGGCATCTTTTTCCTGTTTCCATGTGGTGTATTATTTGTTTATCTATTCAAGCACCAGAGAAATAGCATTGCTATAGATTGGGTTGTTTATATTAAATATTACACAGGTTTCATGACACTTTCCGTGACAGAGGTTTGTATTAACACACTTCAAGATGTAGATATCTTTCCCAGTCTGCACATATCCTTAAACTTTGTTTCCTGTTGTGACTTTTTCAGACCTTGTTATAATAGAGGTTACCATTTTGTTCCCAGTAACTCAAGTTGAGCGATTTCTGGAAAACGCAAGAAAAAGCTGTTAAGCCTTTTTGTAAAATATGAATAGGGGAGACTATTGTTTTCCCAAGACTGCAAACTTTTTTCTCAAGATTATGTGAAAGCATAGCTATGATTTTCAGTTATGTACCTTTTTCCATTCCTAATGCCATTCTACATTTGCCTGTCTTACATATCTTGAAAAGAAGAATTTGGATGTAGTCACTGAAGCAAGACTTTTGACAGCTCTATACTTCGAAGATTCCTCCTGCACTGCACACACTTTGGCTTAGACTCTGTTAGGTCTACATCTGGAACAAGTTTTTGTGGTTTTGTTGTTGTTTTTTCTGCGCTCTCCAATGACCCCTGAGCCAGAGTACTAGTAGCATGAAAATGTGATTACCCAATTTTGATGTTGAGGATGTTATTCAGAACAGGACAGCAGCTTTCAAGAGGGTGGGATTCAATTTTGGCATAATATCCAAGGGAATAAGGGGTTGGGATGGGCAGGGGTTTGGGATCTGTGAATGCAGAGGGTCTGTGTGAAGGGTCAGGTCAGAGGGACTCATGAGAAGGCATGGAGAGAGGCTAAGAGTCTGGTCAAGAAGGTTGAGAAATTAGAGTTATGGAGGAAAGGAGCACTTGATGAATAGACATAGTTAGGGGAAGAACTGGGACTGTCTGTGCAGAGAAAATTTGGGATCAGAAGTTTGTGGAGGGAGGTTAAGAGGACAAAAATTTGCTAAGAAGCTATTTAAAAAGGCTTAACCTATGAATGAGTGGGGAGGGAGATTGTATGTGGAGGAAGCAGGAGAGAGTCAGTCTTTGGAACTGAGAGAGGACAGTGGGAGCCGCTTGCTTCTTGAACAGAAGGAGTAAATGACAGGATTTCTGATTGTTTGCACATATATTTTTATTATACAGTTTGTGATTTTCCTTTCAATGTCTTACCAAAGGTGAATTTCAGTCCTCCAGAACAGGGAAATAATCCCCCTAAATGTTTACCTGATGTTTAGCAAACTAGATAAGTACAAATGAAAGACTTTTATCTACTTATGGTGTGCTTTATTAGAATAGACATGCTGGCAAAAAAATCTCCTGCTATGGGCACAGTCCTGTCCCTCTGTACTAGTGAAACTTCTCCTTATAAATACAGCTAGTTCTGCTTGGGGAAATGAAGTTTTATGTCTCACCGAATCTGAATGGAGTTGATCAAGGTCCAGATCCTTCACTTGTACACCTCTGTCTCTATTAGTCTGTCGTATAGTTGAGAAGTTTAGGATCTCCACTCTCTGAGTGGAACTGGGAGAAGGAATGTGGGGGCTGTATGTTCTCATTGCACTGTTAGTCTGTAACATCTCAGGTAACTCAACAGGTAGCTCTGGCTGAAATGCTTCTGTCCTGCTCCTGCCAATAGAATGTACCAGAGTTGATTATGAGTGATCCAAGTACTTAAAGAATCAAGATTTTATATTTTAAAATTTAGGTTTTTTTCCCATTCTGAGTCATGAAGCTAGTTCCATACATGGCTGAATCAGATGAGTTCAGTGCTATAAAAGTTGCTGGGAATGTATAGCTAAGAAATGGGAGGGATGGAGAATCACACTTAGGGTAGGACAATCAGTTATATGATTTAACTTGCAAAGTCCAGCCTTATCTTTGAGATGAAGTTTCTCTATTAAAAAAAAAAATTAAAAGGTTGAATTACAGATATTCTGTACAGCTTTACACTCTTCCAATATGCCTTGAAGAAGAAAAGGGTACTGGGCTATCACTGTTAAAGACCTGAAGTTATTAGCTTCAGTACGATTCATAGTAGATAGGTCTAAAACATTCTTATGGTTGTCTGGCTGAACTTACTGGATGAAAAGTTCATTTTCCCAAGTACTGTGGCTCTGGTGATGAGCAGTAGTGAATTCCTAGGGTAAAAGAATAAGAATAGAGCATGTCAACGGAGAGACTTCTGCAATGAAACCCCCCAGCTTCCAGCAAACAGCAGCTTAGGGAATTCCTGACTCTGGTGGCATACTTTTGTGTCAAATGGAATAGTCTCAGATGGAATTTTTGTGAATCTGAGTGCTTTTGAGTTCATTTAGTTTATTTATATTCTTTGAATCCATAGCATCAAGTTGCAGAGCTCTATAAATTTAATTATGTACTGTGTGAAAAAGTACTTTTTCTTGGTTTTTTTTTTTTTTTTGCTTTAAACCTGTTCTTTTATTTTCTGCCTTATTTTACTTTATTGTAAGAAATAATTTTCTCAGTGATCACATAGCTTTCTTTTGAAGAATTGTGCTTCCCTTACTCGAAAACTGTTCTATCTGAAAAGCAGTTCCATTTTGTTTTCCTTCTCTGTCTGATATGGTTCTCCTGTTTTCCTTTTATTTCAAAGGAAACAAACCAAACTGTTGACAGTTATGGTATACTGCAAATTGATGTAGTTGTATTTATTTTCTTCACTTCCTAATAATTTCTAACATTCTCTTACTTTTTGACTGGCTGAATTAAAGCCAACATTTTTCATAGAGCTATTCACAATGACTTTAAGGCCTTTCTAGAATGTGCTAAGAGGTCATTTACTACACTACAGTGTATATATAGTTTGTTGTAACCTCCAGCTGTGTCACTATTATTTTGTATGTGTTCACATTGAATGCTATCTATCATTTTGCTTCCAATCACTTAGTATTAATGAATTTCCCATCTTTATCTTGTATTTTTCCTATCTTGTTTTTAACTATCTTAAGTGCATTCCCTTTTCTGGGGCTATTGTGATCAAGGTATACAGCAGAGGACAATGGACACATCTTGAAGGGAATTTGAAAGGTTATTTTGTATTCTTAAATCTTTTTACTGTCATTTACCACTTTTTTCTTTATCTCATGATAGCTTAATTTGATTTGTTTATTAATTTTTGAATAGCTTAAGAACTCTTGAAAATTTAACTGCATTTTAACCCTTTTCGACATGTTTTTGACACTTTCAAAGTATAATATATTTGGGAAGAATTCTTATTATCTATGTATTTCAATATCGTTTTTTAACTTATCCTATGAAATTGTCCCAGCAGAAGTCAGTTTTTTGGTCTGCAGTTTCTCAGGATCTGCTAGAAGCTTTCTAAAATGCTAACATCCATGTGCTGTTTTTTGTTACTGTGGTAATGAGGCCATTTTAAAAGAGAGAGTGTACCACACAGTAATTAAGAAGTTTCATGATCAAGTTTTTCCAGATTCTTCAAGGATATTGTCTGCTCCTGGCAATTTGATACTGTCAATATTTTCGTTTTCAGCTAATGTTTAAGTCTCGTATGTGTCCTCTACCTCATCTTCTGTTTCTTTCTCTGTGTAGAAGAATTCTGGTGAGAGATCCTGCGTAAGCTCATCTGTAGGGAACAGTAGTGCAACAAATTCTCTTAACTCCTCTGCAGTGGCCTTATGACTGCGTGTTAGATCATTTCTTCCTAGACCTCTTCCTTGAATGCTGGGAGAGTTTTTGGGTTGTCAACATTATGACTTAAATAAAAAAAATATTTCTTGAGGTTATGATGAACAGTTTGTTATGAAAATGCATGGCAGACGTGTGCTGTGTATTTGTTTGTCTGGATTGTTTCCTAGTAAAGAAAGGAGTAAGGAAAATTTTCTTTTTGCTATGCATATGGATTTAACAGCACTGGAAAGAGAGCAAAGAGGGATGACGTTTCCCTGCTGCCTTTCTAAAGCACCCAAACAGTACATAGCAGAATGTCGTGGGAATCATTATGCTTTCAACATTTCCCACCCTGGGCCATTGACACCAGCGTGGCCTTCACACCATATATGCACTTGGAGCACATCTGTATGGAAGAGGTACTTGAGCTAGTACTGAAAACTGCAGCTGACTGCTGCTGGCAGTGTTCAGTCTGACCAGATCAGGGAGCTGCTGTGGCTCTGATGTTCTGTGGCTGCTCAGGTGTCCCTCCTTGTTTCTCTCCTGTGTTGGACCTGCCTGTGCCTGCCCAGCCTCCCTTGGCAAAGACCTGTCCTTTAAGGCAAAAATGGGAACC